TGCTGTTTCACCGGGGCCGGGTTTGAACCCACCACCCTCTGTATATGGGGACGGCACCCTACTTACTGAGCCACAGGTGCTGCCCTCAAGTGATAATTTAACCTTGTTTTGTCTTCAGCAAGAACTGGAGGCCTCCTTTATGAAACTTTAAAACAGAGAAGCTAGAAGATCCCTTATGTTTTTATTTGAGAAAATATATTAAGCAAACAATTGTAGTTTTTTGACCTTTTTTTGCACTAAGAAAAAAGGAGTGGCATTGAAATCCTCAAGTAGTACAGTTTAAAGCCTGTGTATTTAAAATCATGCTTTCTGCCTTCTTTTAGTTCTTCCTTATCCAGAAGTAGATAAAGTTCTTCTAGAGGAAAATCTACAGTTTTGTTTTTTTTTGGGGGGGGGGGAGTTGGTAAAGGGATAGGCTTTAAATGAGTAGACCTGAGACTACTTCTTAGGAAAGGCAGGAATTATCTAGCTTCTTTCTGGGGCCTTTGTTTCTTGGTTGCAGAGCTCTCCCAGTACCTAGGCAAATTCCACTCTAATAAAAGGTTTGGTTGATTTTTATTGATGGTAATGTATAGTTTCTTACTTGATAGGAATATGTTTTTAATACTAAAATTTTTTTTTCTCTTAAGGTGAGCCTGACTCTAGAGTTCTAGCCCATATAGGAGATGATGATGTTACAATAAGAATCAACACAGATGGGGGAGAATATAATATAGAGGTAAATCACATGTCTATTTTCTTTTCAGTAGCTTGTATCTCTAATTTTATAAAGCTTCTTAGTTGTTTTAAGATGGCAAAGATGAAAAGATCTTTTCTCTTTGTATTTAAATCTTTTTTAAACCTGGAAAGTAGATATTTTTTTAAAAGATTTTTTTTTTTAACATCTCTAAGAAGCTGCTGTATTTCTAAGTACCATAATTGCAAGAGTTAGGTGTGGATTAGATAATAGGTTTTCTTCCTGAATCATTTTAAAATTTTTTCTCAAGTAAATCTGTGAGTGTAAACATTCTTAAAGAGGACATCTTGGGCGGTGCCTGTGGCTCAAAGGAGTAGGGTGTTGGCCCCATATACTGGAGGTGGGGAGTTCAAACTTAGCCCCGGCCAAAAACTGCAAAAAAAAAAAAAAAAAAAAAAAGAGCAAGCCTTATTTCTATGCTAGATACCCTGGAAATGCTAGATTGATAAACAGTACTGGTTAACAATCTGAGAAATTAAGCAGAAACTGTAGGAACTTAGGCTCTAGTCACTCAAAAGCTATACAAGTAGAAATCAAGGCCAAAGTAGCCATTTGTGTAAGATGCATATCTATCTGTCAGATCCTAGTCTAGAAAACAAAACATTTGCCACATATTTGTAGATTAAAGTTGATTCTGTGTTTTTTGGAAAATGAGAATACTCTGAGTACTGGTAAGAATATCAAGACAGAGCATCTGTGGGAAAACTGTGATTAAAGTTGGTCAAAATCAAATTTTTAGGTGTATTTGAATGCTGTTTTAGGGGTAAGATAGAATGCTATAAATACTACACATTTTAGTAACATCGACACTAGT